CTGCAGAGAGAGCCTGCACCAAATCATTTGGGACAACTGATCTTTCCTGAAGTACTAATCCTTGTCTCTGTTTTCTTGTGACAGGGGAGTGTGATGAATATTTTTCTTCTTAGATTTGCAAGTCACCTCTAAATGTGTGGGGTAGGAATGCAGATGTGTACCTTTCTATCTCCTGACAAATGCTGCTAGGTGTCTGCTCTGCTGTTTTGATGTCTGCAGCAAAGCTGGCAGAAATCTGCCATCCCCTTCTGAACAGCAGTTCCTGTAAGAATGCTGAGAAGATCAAGTGGGAGAAGTTTATTTACCAACATTAATCACTTATCCATAAAATGAACAATCTCTAGTGCTCATACCACATTAAGTGTAGTCCCTCTTACCTCAGTAGTTTGATGGCTGTGTCACTCTGCCAGGCAGGGTGAGCTCACAATTGAATAGTTTGCTTGTCCAATAGCACCTAAGAATGGAAGCTTTTTAAAGTGGGAGCTCATGTCAACCTGGGTGGGGGTCAGCTTGAGATAATTGAGTCTTAGTGTGTGAGCCTCTTTCTGTTTGTTTTAAATAGTGAGTCAACATCAGCACAAATAGGAGCCACTTCCATGCTCGTAATTCAGAGCATATTCGGAGAGTTTGTAACTGCTAATGAGCAACATTCCAGAGAAAGCAGAGCCCAGGCTTCCAAGATTTGCACATTTGAGATGCTCAAGCTTGTGTATGGTAAACAAAATTTAGAAACTCCTCTATATAGTTGTACTTTGGACCCCAACATACTTTAGAAGAAAATGTCTAACTGTGCTTGGATTTATTTTATAAACCAGGGTGGCTTCAGCAGTCTGTGTGGCCTTCCATTCAGCTGTTTGCTTAAGCCAAGCCAAAAGCCACTTATCTAAAGATGATTTATTCTCACTCTTGAGCTGACGGAACCGGGCTGGAAAGGGTAAAAGCTGAATTGTAGTATAAGCCTCTGACTTCAGTCAGATCATAAGGGGAGCATGAAGGACGGGCCATAACATTGTTCTGCAAGGTACTTGTGGTTCCCCTGTACACTGCTTGTCGGACACCTTTTTAAAATAAACAGCCATGCTATGTGATTGACTCAGATTTGAACTTTGCAGCTGTTCCTTTCTATCTGCCTGTTATGCCAAAGCAAAACCCTGCAGCTCAACATCTTCAAAATCAAAACCTTAATTCAAATATTATCATTTGGATAAGCATCTCACTTTTTGTTTTTGGCAGTGTAAGTAAATGCAGGCAATTTTGTTTCTTTGTCTAGTTCAGAAAAATAGATGTGGTTTATATACTTCGAACATAGACGTAGTAAAAGGCAACAGTTGAATAGTCGTAGCTAGAGATGTGAAAGTATGACTGGAGGCAGTGTATCTGGTTTCGGAATTGAATCTGAAGAGAAAGTTAGTTTCAGCAGTGTTTTAAGTTAGCTTGATTTGTTAGATTAAAGCAATCAAAAGAATTTTGCATTTGGGAACTCTTACTCTCTTTGGATGCTTTAAGGATCTAATGTTCTTCTTGACGTCTTTTCACTGTGTTAAACTTCACTTAATGCAGACCATGACTATGAGCATGGTTCTGGTAGCCAAGGTAAATGAGGCTGAAGGTTTTAGTTTTGACCCATCCAAGAACTGTGCTGTCCAGACAAGGAATGTGGGTTATGTGGCACTGCCATTCATGCTGCTATGGTGTGTGGCTCAAGTGGGCACTACTGTGCAGAGCTGTTTCCCAGCACGGATAGCCTCTTTCCACACCAGTGTGATAAATGCAGTAGTAAAAATAGGGGGAGGCCTAAATGACTGAAAGGTGAGGCTACTTCTTGTACTCTGCTTCTTCATCAAGAATTACTTTGAATGTGCTAACACCAAAAAGGGTTAAAGAACCATTGTGTATTTTGAATTTGGGTTGTCAAAGCAAATATTTTGACAGTCGGTCAGAAGTGGATGCTGAGTGCCATGCTGTGAAGAACATACAGTTCTGTCATGGAAAAAACTTATTGAGGGATGGGAAACTGAGAGGAAGAATAAACAGCTAGTTTTCAGCCTTGCAAGGGCCTGGTTTGAGTTTCTGCTGAGCAAAAATGGAGGGGAAAAAAAGCATGGGTTAGCAGAGTGAAGCTTCATGAAGCCCAGGTATTTAGCACAGCCTGTAGCTGGAGAGGCTTCCATGTATAGCACAAACATATTGTTAGAGCCACATGAGAGATGGTTAGGTTCATTGGGAAATGCAAGGGGGGGAGAAGGTTGTTGGAAGGAAAAGGGAGAAGAAGTTCCTGGGAGGAAAAGGTTAACTACGTAAATGTGACTGAGCTGGAGCTTGTCTTCAGTACTTCATCTGCAATTGTGCCTTTCTAAGTCTCAGAAAGAAATGCTTCTGCCCCTCCTCTGTGCTCACCATCCTACTTTGTTTGTGTCTGTCTGACAAAAAGGACTTGTAGGTGAGTGGTGCTCTCCTTTCAGTGCATCTCTAGTGCAAGAAAAAGCTTGTGTGGAAGTTCTCCCATGGATAAGGGTACATTGGTATTTGTATTGGCTCTTGGTATGTTTTGCACCAGAATAGAGTACTCATTACCTAGGAAAAGCCGAATTGTACCAGTTTTATTCAAAACCAAAGTATTTTCCATTGAATTGTAGCTCTCAATGACATCTACTAGCTCACTTTTAGATGCTGTGAAGTTTCCCTTAGTTGCACAACACGGAAGTGAACTCCAGAGATTTGCCATGATCTCCACGTCAGCTTTAGACAGGCTGTTTTGTTCATGCAGTGACTTTTCTGGAAATACTGTCTTAAAATTTTGCTGCAAATTATTGTGCTTACATTTCAGTTGGGGAAGAACCCCATGATTTGATCTTTTCTTCTAGTATGTTTGTTATCAGTGACATATTTTTATGGCTGCCAGTGTGCATCTAGAATTTCCACCTACCTAAGTAAATATGAACTTTGTTTTCTTCTGTGTTCAATAAATCGTGTATTATATCCAGTGGTACAGAGTCAGCCATTATGGGTGTTCAGCTCTTATGTTCCTTCCAGCTCATTGAAAATCCTGGAATTACAAAGATGAGGAGTTCATATAGGTGCAGTTCTTGCAGAAGAATACACATTTTAGAGCTTTTTGGAGCCTCTTTTAAAAAAATAAAGGCATTTTCAATTAAATTCTCTTTAGTCATGCAGATGACATCAGAAGAATATGGGTTTGTAGTGGACATTTCCTACATTCCAATCATTATTTAAAGTGGAAATACTGAGCAAATTAACTTTCTTTGGCTGGCTGACACGTCAGCTCTCTGTTATTACCAAGGGTGTATTCAAGTCATTAGTATGTCAGGTTGCTTGAAAACTTAATGCTCTCCCCCTGCCAAAATGGAAAATTAACGGAACTGTTTTCTCACTATGTCTGAAAGCGCTTTTTAAAGGCAGTGACATAACACTGAACTACAGGAGACAAGTTCTGTTGTTGGCACATCAGATTTAAGCCTCTTATACCAAAGGAATCTGCAGATCTTTCACTACAGCTAGTACGGGGGGGAGTAGAAATTGCTGGATGAAATCTTGCAGATGATTCTCTATGTCTAATATAGGAGGGAGTAGAAATTTCTGGATAAAACTTTGAATGTGTGAAGCTGTGTGTGTATGTTTAATTTGCATTCAGTGGGACTAATATTCAACCACACGACTCAACTCCTAAGAAATTAATTACCAGCCCCACTACAAACCTAAAAAAAATATTGGGCATGCCTGTTGTTCTGGCGTCTGGTGACTGCAGCAGCACAGTAGGGAGGTCTAGATCTGATTCTTTTCTCCTGCCTCCAGTTCAATGTCAGTATTTGGGGTTTAATGAAGAAAACTTGGGCGTGCTACATTCTCATCTTGGAGGGGGTAACATGAGGGCATTTCCTGCTCCCACCCTTGCTTTCAGGCAACAGTGTTTCAGTTCAAGAGCAGAGGCGTGTGGGATGACCTGTTTGTTTTTTCGAAGCTGATATTTGGATAGGAGTTGGAAGTATAGTGATCTTTGCCTCTTGTACTAAGATAAGTGTAACTCTGGGAATGTCATCAGCCACTGTTGGAAGGCAGTATAATGGCTTGGGAAAAGCCCTGGGGAACATTTTGCTGCAGTCACAGCATACACAGGGCTGTGGAGGAGGGGAATTGAGACTGACTGGCAACTCCTCTGACTGGGGTTTTTGGCCCCTTGGCAGTGACTGGGGCGCTTTTCCACAGGTTGCTATTTGCAATGGCATAAGTCACTAAAGGCTGCCAGTGCTGGCTGCAGTTCAAGATGAGGTGTGTGACACACCTTCAAGCAGATTGTTTTCCTGAAACACTGGTGCAAACCTCGATCCCAAACCCAGGGAGGCACCACTCCTTGCAAAATCCATGTTTCAAAGAGGTCACCACATCACAGGGTGAGTTGCCTGCTGCTGTAGTCTTGTTCACCTCCTCTTGAGGCGGGGTTGAACTGCAGTCAGCAGAGACGCAGAAGGTTGGAACAAGGTTCCTTCATTTCCTTCATTGCCCTTTGCACCTAGGTGCCCATGGCATGTGGAGCTGTGTTCAGCCCTTGTCCCGAAGGAGGACTGTCCTGCTTCCCCAGAGTGAAGGCAGGAGCTGCACATCTGTGAAACTGCTTAAACGTGTCCAAACATTTTGCTGGGTGACTGCCAGCACACTTGGTAGTTTGGACTAGAAGAAGACGATGGGGTGTGGTGGTAGGAGTGGGTGGGACTAGTGGGTGTTACTAAGACCTTTGCTTGCAAAGCGTTTGACAAACACCCACCGTGGGATAGGGCACAGTAAATACTGTAAGTGTTGGCAGCAGTAGGGGGGAGATTAATTAGTCCCCTGCAACAAATCAGGGAGGTTTTCCAGCAGGCTTTGTTTGACCAGCCCTTGTAAGAGGTGTATTATTGATGTGAATCTGCGCCAGATTTTGGTTTGTTGTGGGGGTGGAAATGACTTTTTTTCTCACTGCTGATGTGTTTTCTCTTTTCTTGTAGGTGTGTGATGTCAAACAGTGGGCAGTCCTTGTAGCTTCCTCTACCAGTCTGCAGTGTCATGTGCCAATATGAATATTAAGAAAGAAAAGCATACTTCAGAGCTCAGCATCTCAGAAAGAAAAAAGGAAGAACTAAACAGAGAGAGCAAATGATTGCACTCCTTGCAAAACTTGAGGCTGTTCTCTTTTTCTGCTGAAGCTTCATCTTGGCCTATGTGAGAGAGTTGACAAAGTAGGCAGAACAGCCACAGTGATTTTCTTAGGGTCCTTTTTTAATTTAATTTTTTTTCCCTTGTGTCTGGATTTTAAGTGTGCTGCACTGATCACAAGCACTGGAGATCAATATGTGTCATGTCATTGTAACATGTCGGTCGATGCTGTGGACTCTCCTGAGTATCGTGGTGGCTTTTGCAGAGCTCATTGCCTTCATGAGTGCAGACTGGCTGATTGGCAAAGCAAAGCCTTCAAGCTCCGAGGAGGTGGACAACAGAACGGGGGGGCCGCAGGAGCCCTACCGTCCAACACTGGGCATCTACGGGCGCTGCACCAGGATCTCCCACATGCAGTTCTCCAGGCGAGACACACTTTGTGGTCCTTACGCTGAAAACTTCAGTGAGATTGCCAGTGGGTTCTGGCAGGCAACCGCTATTTTCCTAGCTATGGGAATCATGATTCTCTGCACCGTGGCATTTGTGTCTGTCTTTACTATGTGTGTGCAGAGTATTATGAAGAAAAGCATTTTTAATGTCTGTGGACTGCTACAAGGGATTGCAGGTAAGTGCACTTTGAGAGTAACTAAACTTTTAATTTTGGGGTCATTCAGATGAAGAAACATAGCAATTCTGGCCTGCCTGCATTGGGCAGACCCAAAGTGATTCTATATACTGGTGCTTATTCAAACATAATTGAAATTTATAGCTACACAGCATGTAATACATTGACATTGGCAGCAGAACTGCAGCCTGATGTATGCCAAAATGAACTGACCAGTGTTGCTTTTGTTTGCTGTTCATTTTTTTTCCTCCGTTTGAATTTCTTTCAGTTACAAAAACTTCTCTCCTTTGCTACCAGCAGAGAACAAAGTTAATACTCATATTAAGGCAGTCTATCTCGCTCTCACTACTTCAGTAATTTTTCCATGGACCGAAGGCAGTTCCCTCAGTGTCTCAAAGGCTTCATGACTGTGGTGAGAGTAAATACCACCCCAGGGCTAAGAACGGGTTGTAGTTGCACACCCAGTTCCTCCAGCATTTCATGCTAAGCAGTCTCCTTCAAAGCTGTGAGCTTGACAAGTGATATCTTGAGATAAACCTTTCCTTTAGCCAGCTTATTGTTCAGCTGCAGTTACACAGCCCAGTGAGCTTGTCTTTTCACTGTTCCAAGATCAGCTTGTTTTGCCTGAGAAGATGCATTTGTTCTAGAGATTTGGTGTTTCTGCTTAAACCCATAGATTTTACAGACGTTAAATGACTGTTAGTAAACCAACCCTAGACAGCCTTAGTTAGAGAAGTATTCATTTTTCTGTACTTGCCACTGAGCCATGAGAAAACTTGCCTCATACACAGGTTTTCATCTTTTGTGCTCTCTGTGTGTGTGGTTATCTGGAGGAGGAGAGTGGTTTTCTGCCCTGCCTCTGGCAGCCCTCAGAGCCCTGTGAGGAGGGAGGGAATGAGCAGGACCACCTCCTCTCTCTGTCTTGGTGGGGCTCTTAAGCAGATGTTTTCAATCCACGAAATTATTTAATCACAACAAAAATTAGGTTTTAACTTGTTTTGTTCTAAATGTGAATCCAGCTTTCCCCCTTCTCACCTCCATTGTGGTGGCCAAATATGTCTGTGATGGTTATACCTAAACAGGAGATGTAGTGATAGATATTCAGATCTTTATCCGGAGCTGAATGGTTTCATTTGCTTAGTTGAGACCTAATGTAATCTTACTCTAAACGCACATGGGGAAATAGGTGCACACTGACTTTACTGCCTGCTGCAGCCCTCCAGAGCCAGTGTTACATGGCTGATGCTGGCTCCTGAAGCACTACCACAGTGGCTCTTTAGTATAGAAGCATAACACTTATTTTATGTCACCCACAATGTAAGGTTTATGCTTCTGGAGCATTATTATATCCCTAGATTGGCTAAAGATGCTTCTGTACATACAATGGCATACAATTAGCTTATCAGATCCTTTAGATGAGCATGACAGGTTTTGCTGTAGTCACTCCTGGTGTACAGAATTTGCCAGAAGCACTGTGACAAGGAAGCAGCTGGCAGTGCAGATTAAGCCAGGGGAAGTTGTTAGTTTCTTGCCTTCTTACTCTATATTTCAGAAATAATCCATTACTATTTTCCCAGGAGATGCAATTATTACTTGTTTTCTTTTGGAGGCGTATTTGTACGGGAGAGATTGCTTAGCAGCATGAATATATCTTTGGCAAGTCAGATTTGGGTCTTTTGAAAAGATAACTTTACTTACAACTCAGATACCATCTCAAAATACCTGGTCTGTCATCTAGGATTAGTGGCTAGAAAGGTATTTGTTTCTTAGAATAGTGTTCTGGAGATGGTGCATTTGTGAGAAAATGCATGCTAAGCCAGTTTTATATTTTATTATCAATCCAGCTGTACCCATAATGGGACTTGCAGCCTAAAACATTGAACAGTACAGTTGACAAAGCATTTCTTAAGTGTCAGATCAGTCCTTTTTGAGCTGTACTGAGCATAGAAGCACTTCCCTTCTTACTATTCAGATAAATGAAACAGCATGAAACTAGGTAAGAGAAAGGTGACCCACTGAAACATGGCTATGGGAAGTAGTATTTACAGCCAGGCATCTGATGGCTCATTTTCTCAAGATTAGTTTTATTGGGTCCACTGTTACTTTTGTGCCAGTAGTATTACAGCATCTGCTTACTTAGTTGAATTATTTTCCTTATGACTAATGATGACTGCTAATTTAAACTTTCTCAGTTCCTGAGTTTTGAAAAATGCTTAAGCAAGTTGCTCAAGAGGGACAGTTGTCAGCATGGCTAATTCAAACAGGGATTATGATAGATAAACGAATGCCCTGACCAGAAAACAAGATACAACCCTGCCTTAATAATTTTGAGCATAGCATCATTCTTTCTGATGTGAACAATTATGTTTTTAATAAGCATAAAAGAAGAATTCACAAAATAATTTTGATAATCAGCCTATATCAGTACAATATTTGCAAGTATGTCAAACATGTCCTTTTCAAACGTGGGTTGCACACATGGTAGAGTCATCTACAGGAACTCAGGATCTTGCAGATTTAATCTAATTTAAAATCTCTATATATTTTCAGGAGAGATTTAATATAATTAAAAACATACAACGACCTAATTTATTCCTGGAATTCATCGTGACAAAACAATAACAGACACCGGATATATCTTTCCAGTCTAGCAAGATTGGTTGTGAATGATGCCTACGGTGACATTACAGAACAGAAAGCAACATCTCTTCTGTTATGGCCCGTGGAAAAATGTGCAAATTGTCATTTAGATCAACAGGAGAAAGCCATACACATATCTGGACCATAGGGATTTTTAAATTATTATTTTTGTGGCAGAAAATGAGAAATACAAGGCCATAAAGGAAGAAAATATGGTTCTTGTTTAAACTCCTGTAATTTCTTTGTTATAGAACAGGAACTTCTACCACTTTACTTTCAGACTGCAGTGCCTTTCATTCTGCAGCTGTAGAAACAGTAATCAATAGCCCTGCTTTTGGAGATGTTTGAGGATTTTTTCATCTGGATAAGCACCTTTTCTCTGCATTAGAGAGTGCAGAGAATGGAGACATGTAATTGAATAGATAATTACTATCCAGAAGCAAGAAGACCAGGCAGACATTCATTGTATGTCTTTTTAGGGAAAGTATTCTACTTTTAGTCTATGAATCAGTTGAAATGCAGAGGCTGGAGGAGGAAGGATGTTATCACATGCTAACTGAAAGGAATCAATTAAAATAAATTTTCACAGTAATCATGTAATAGGAAGCAAATAATTGGTGATCCCGGACTGACATATCTTGGTATGTCTTTAGTGTAGTTGCATATGTTTTTACAAGTCTTATTTGGGCTTGTGTACTTCATTTTGTTGCTAAGTAATATAATATAAACATAATCTAGCCTCAAAGGAGGGTGGGGAGAGCTTAGGATGAAGCCTAAACCAAGTTTGGCTTTCATCTCTGATAGTTTCCTTTATAAAGTTCATAATCAGCAACTTGGCTTCCTTTTTTGGCCTCTGCCATGGCTGGGAAGACACAACCCCGTCCCCACAGCCAGTGTCTGCCTGACTTGCAGCTGAGCCACAATGCACCAGCAGCCCCCTGACTGCACACCAGGGGGAGGAAGCTAAACTAGCTGCACCAATATTTTATCAACCACAGAACCTGAGCAAGCCCCTGTGTTTTTTTTGTGGGGAGCTCTACACCATGTGCCTGCAAAGGCTTTGGGGAGAGCAGTGGGGAAATGGAGCTGACATGTCAGGAAGGCTTATGGGTTTGGGAGCTCAGTATCTTTTACTGCTGTTTAGCTGTGCTGGAGCAGGGCTGCCTTACCAGGAACATTTACCAAAAGAGGATAAAAATAGGTCTTCTTCTCTAAAATCTTTCCAGGGTGCTGATGAATTCATCTGAGAGGCCTCTCATGGGTCACCTCTTTCTCATCTCTTCCTCTTATTCACAGTCCACTGTCTCCTAGCTCTAATGGGGCTTGGCAGAAGCATGCATTAAAAAAGCATGTAAAAATTGGGTTGCATCAGTCAGAAGACCAGCTGTGTCCCAGCACACCAAGGAATGTCTCTGGTTTATTCAGGCGAATGCATGGCTGCATTTTGCTGTCGTGTGGCTTAGCTGGGCAGTTGCATCTTTAACAGGTAGATGTCCAGTCAGCCAAAGCAGAGGTTTGTGTTTTCAGTGGCTGCTGCAGGCAGGGCAGAGAGCATTAAGTTCCCTTGGATGCTTAGTTGAAGTCTGTCTGCTTGGGCCCAGATGCTGCAGCTTTGGGCCTCTCTCTGTCACCCCAGCAGTTTCTCCTCAGCATTGCTGAGGAATGGCTCAGCTTCTTCCTTTCCAAGGTCGGAGAGGTTTGTTTTTTCCCCTGACAGTTGCCCTGCTCAGTCTCAAGCAATTATAGCTTTTTCACAGTACTTTCTCTTCTCAGGTATCTCAAGAGCTCTTCTGCATTCTTGCTTCTGACCTTTTCATTATTTCTCTCTATGACTGTCCATGTCTTCTCCTTTTCTCTTCTTTGTATATTGGAGGGTTCCTCTATCAGGAGCTGCTGCGGTACCTTGGCAGTAGTTCAGTTCCAGGAGTACAACTTTACCCTCAAATGCAAAGAAACTTCTCTGCAGCTTTCTAAAGTGAAGAAGTTAAATTCTGTTTCAAACCAGCTGTGTGTGTAACAGTCTGTCTTTGCTGCTGAAAGAGTTTGTTTTATATCTCTTGAGCTGAGAAATTGTTCAGCCTGTAATACTTACTTGGCATCGTTTTCATTTTGGGAGGCTGGGTGATTAGGAAGATGGCCTGAGCAGAGTGTGATAGGAACCATCTGAAGGGGATGAGGATTTGGAGCTGCTCGTGGGGGTGGGTGAAGTAGGATCCAGCCACTCAGGGTGGGCTCATGGTGTGTGCAGCCATGCGACTGCAGACTCCTGGCTGGTGGAAGTTAAGGAGGCCAGTGGGAGTTGTGGAGGAGGAGGCTGGGGAGGAAGTGGGAGGTCAGCCAGGCCTTTCATCATATAGGGG